GGAACCCCAGGACACCCATAATGAAGACCAAATGTCTAAGCATTATGAAATAGTTTCAGCCTGTGAGCCCTTGGCCTCTGAGGAACTGCAAGAAGTCCATGGACCAATTTGAGGACTCTTGATCTCTATAATAGAATACCATGTGACAAAAGTATTTTTATTGTATAAAATATTCACTGACATTGAAAGTATTTTAATTTAAAGAAAACCAACCACAAAATAGTATGGACATTATTGTACAATTTGAAGTATATAAAAAGTTAATGTTCTAATATATTACAAGTATAGGTCTTTATTGAGATGGTGAAAATACAAGTTTTTCTTTTTTTGTTTTGTTTTCTGCATTGAGTTTTTTTAAATGTAACCAGATGTACACACATTTAACAAACATATACATATTGATTATTTGTAGTCACCTATATTGGTCCTTCCCAGACCACAAAATTTCAGCTTAGCATTTTTAGGAAAGATATCACACCAAAAAAATTTACCAATGATAAAGTATTAGTATTTTTCTTTATTTCTTGGTGGTGGGGATGGAACCCAGGGATTTTACCCACTGCATTCTACCACTGAGCTACTCTCCCAGCCCCAATAAGGTACTGGTTCTGCACAGCTTTAAGTGTCCTTGCCTCCCAGACACAATAGAAGTACCCCCTAGGGAGCTTACTAGAACCATGGACTCCCCAGTCCCACTCAAGATCTCCTTAATCAGAGCCTGCCTTGAGACCCAGGTGATTTGTGTGCAGAGCAGGTTTGAGAAACCCTGGCAGCACATTAGAATGACCTGGGAATTAAAAAAAAAAAAAAAATGGGGGAGGGGAGGAGGCATTGAGAAGGCTGCATTTTCTTTTATTACTTTCAGGTGATTCTTATCTGCATTTAGAACTGAGAAATGCTGCTCTAACACCTGGGCCTGGCTTCAACCTTGAAAAAGAGCAAGGCTGTCACCTCCAAACTCTACCCTGCTTTGATGCAGTGCCCCCACCCTCCACCTCTGCAACATGTGGGGACCTCCTAGCCAAGTTCCAGATCCCAGAAATTTCACAGGGACAGATGAACTGGATGGAGCAAACAGCTGCCATCTTAGTCCATTCAAACAAAATAGCATAGACCAGGTAATTTATAAACCGAAATACATTGCTCACGATTCTGAAGTCTGGGAAGTCCGTGATCAAGGCACCTGCAGTTTGGGTGTCTGGTGAGAGCTTGTTCTTCAGGGAGAGAGCCTTCCATGAGACTTCCTCCTCCCTTGGTGGAAGGGGCAAACAAAGTCTCTTATACCCATACTTATCCCACCCTCAAGAGGGCTCCGCCCTCATGACCTCATCACTGCCCCAGAGGCCCCTCCTCCTAATACTATCACATTGAGGATTCAACCTATGTCAAATTCTAAAAAAGCAAGTCTCCAGTGCCTTCAAAATCAAGGTTGCAAATTCTCAGATCAAAGGAAACTCTTATTGACCAACACTGGTGTTTTTAGAAGAATATGTTACGTTCCATTTGGTGTTTGAGGAGAGGCTTGTGCTGAGAACTGAGATACAAACCAGGACCCTGGGGTCTTGGTTAACAGACCCTTTCTTTCCAGTGGAGCAGATGTGACCCAGGAGGGGTGTGCAAACTGCTGTGCTAACACACTGACAGGTGACTTGAGGACACAGTGCCCCCTGTCTGGCAGATGAGCAGCTTTAGGCCATCACCACTGACTTCTAGAAACTGCATTTGAGTCTTGGGTCTTGGGGGGGGGGGGGCGGTAAGGCCCAGCTTCCACCTGAATTGCATACACTTGCTGTGATGCCCCTGATGAAATTCCAGCAGCAAGATTAGAATGTCATTATTAATGAGAGCAAACTGCTCTGTCCCTTAATGTTCCAAACCAAGCCATGCTGTTTTCCAGAATGTGAAAAGTGGCAAAACACCCACCTGTCCTAAGCTACAGACTCTTAAATTCCTCCAAAGTGCACGCACCTCTGGAGACTTGCTGTCCTGTTTTCATCCCTAAGTAACCTCTCTTCCAACTCCAGCCAGGTGCAGTTTTACATGGTCGACACTAGAGGGCGAGCCACCAAAACATTTCTGTTCCAACTCGTTGCTCCGCCAAAAAAAAAAAAAAAGTTCACTCTAGATTTAAAAGACAGCTTTCTCTCTGGCTTCCCCCAAGTCTAATGCCAGTAGCATTCATTGAAAAGCAACAGCGAAGCACTTTTTTTTTTTTTTCCTTTTTGGTGTCTTGGGGATTGAACCCACACCATTTGCAAGCCAGGCAAGTGCTCTATCATTGAGCTAGGTCCTTGGCCCTTTAGTTGCCATCTGGTTTACACACTACCATTTCTTTTCCAAGTCCATTTAACACAGTGTAAAGCCATGAGCTAGCCTGCTCCTCCTTTAGATCTACGTTAGTTGGTGTCTTAGATGTGGGGGAATAAATTGCACTGACCACTGCCAATCATAAGGGGTATACTAAGAGGGGCCTAATCAGGTGTCTTCTCATTGGTAGCAAGTTTACAAGAGATTCACTCAACATGAACACTCCGGAGAAAACTGGAGTTAGTTCCTCAAACCAAAAAACACCCTAAAAACTGTAGTTGTTATAAACTCTACCCTTGTAGCAAACTCTTCCAAGAAAAAAGAAAACCTGGGAGTGTAAAGATGTTCAGAGTTTGGCTTCTCTCTTCCCTGCTGCCCAACACAGGAACACTGACTGCCTGATCCGTTGTCATACATTTTCCATAGTTTTACTGTGTCATCCTGATGAAGCCAGCACTGGTTATTTCCTGGCAAATGTTGCGTCTCCTCCCTGCTCAAACATTGGGCTCCCCCTTGCTGAGAGGTGGCACCTAGAAACAGCCCCATGGCCACAGTGGAGAGTGCTGGCCACCAAATTCTGTTGGCCAGGGTTTATGGAGAGCTTCCAGTTCTTCCTTGGAGGTCTGAACAGGATTTCCCTAGAGAAGGAGGGCTTCGCAGAATAAATGACAAAGATTGCCCGGGAGGGCCTGCCAGGTCACTGGGCTCCAGTTCCTCATTGTTCAGCCCACCGGCTTCCCAGGGCTCTTGTCCAAATGAGCCGGAAACAGACACAAGAAGCCCCACAAAACTGCAAAATTATTCCATGCCTGCCCACACAAACACGGGGCACCAGTGATCATACATTCTGCATGATAAGAAAATGCCAAGAGACACTTTTAAGAACCCCCTTGAGGGAAGAATGCGTGGGACCTATGGCAGGACAAAGTTGAAAGTTGAGGTCTCTTCCCTTGGAGAAGAGTTTTTCAAGTACTTTGTGATGCAAAGTTCTAGTTTTAAATTCCTCAGTCTCTTTTTTCAAAACCTAATCTTTGTATTTTACAGAAGCAATAATGTTTGTCATAACCCAAAAATAGGAAAGAGAAATTTAGTAATCTTCCTGAAGTCTACCATCTACACACTGAAGAAATTTCCTACCAGTTTTGATTTTTGTAGACAAAGCATCCTTTTACTTCTGAGCCATAATCTTTCTCTTTTGTTGGCCAGTTTGCAAGGAGCGAGAGCCCATGACCTCACATAGATAATCAGCAATGTCAAGGAACAGGGACAGTCTTTTCCAATCACCACTGACAAGTTTCATTAAAATCAAAACATTTGTTTCAAATGTCTGGGGAAGTGAGACAAAATGTTTCTCGAACAAGTCTTGGAACCTACTGTCAGAATCTGAGAGTAAGATAAGAACCTTACATTTTATTTCCATTTGATTTTTGAAAGTCAGCAGGGGAAAACAGTATTTCAATGTTACACCTGCCCTTTTTTTTTTTTCTTAAAATACATTCTTCATGTCTGCCAGTAACATTGGCAAACTTGTTTTTAAAACTGTTGTACTTGTTTTTGTTAAACTAAGTGCTTGATTTTAAACTATTGCTGCCATCAGACTACATATGAAAATGTATAATGGCCAAGTCATTGTAACTACTTTTTATTTTTAAATGGAAGTATAAGATGATTTCCAATTCAAGAAATTTCTTTTTAAACTATTTCCTCTTTTTTCATGTAGCATAAAAATTGTCCTGATGGAATTGTAATTGCCAGTAGAGGATCAGTCACAAGTGAACCACTTCTCAGTTGCTAGTCTTTGCTCACATTAAAAACAACTTACAAATGTTTAGTTTTTGTGCATGATTATTAAAATGTTTATGGAAGTTTTTCTTATTCATTATGATAAAGTATTGCAGAGTAAATTTTGTTTTGTAACAACAACAAGAACGTCTTTCAAGGGTCTTAAAAAAACCCAGTGTTCTCTTGCAGTGATAATTTATAATGAAAAGAGAAGTTGATGTTTCTCAAATGGGTCAAGATTCCTGTTTCAAGGGGCTGTGAGCAATTATTTTCTTACAAAAAGATTAAAAATGTATCAGGTCCCTAAATGCTAAGTTCTACTGTGCATTAAATGTTCACGGGAACTTTTAAAAACACACACACACACATATTCCAGAACCTCTAAGGGCAAGGCCTGGGGATCTGTGTTTTACATGGTCCCCAGGAGACAACCTCAGGGACGGGAGAGCTCTCCTATTTACTGGGCTCTGCATCTGTCTCACATCAGTTTGCATTTAGCAGCATGAAGGGACAGTTCCCTCCACAACCACAAAATTCTTCCTCTCCCCTTCCCATCTAAAGACTGGGTCTGAGCAGAGCTTCTCAAAATCAAAGTGTGGTTCCCAGATAATAGCATCACTTGGGAAATTGTCAGAAATGCAAATACTAGAGTCCCATCCTGGGCCTACTATAAAAGAAAATTTTGGGAACAGGTGAACACAGTCCTCTGTAGGTTTTTTGGTTTGGGCGGGGTGGGGGGGGATGGACCCCAGGCCTTATGCATGTGAGATGCACCCTGAGCTCCACCCACAGCCCAGTCCTCTGTTTTGGTGAACCCTTCTGTTATTTCTGTTATGAAGCAGAATCTGTGAACCCCTGGATTAGAGAATTTCACAGTTTCAAGAAAGAAATAATGAAGACATAATTCTACATCAGGTAGAACCAAGTTTATTAATGACAGCCTTTATTACAATCACTCTCAAGTGTAAAAAATAAAGGGTGATTAATTAAAATTTAAAACTCACTTGGACTTGCTGTTTGGCCTTTCACTGGCTGTGCCAAAAGGGTGGGGATCTTGCCTGATTCTGAATCAACTGGTCAGATGGAGTTCACTGGAGAATGAGGTAATAAAAAAGACAAAAGTGCCAATTGGAGAGCTCAAGTCTTCTCCATGTTGGAAGGACGTTACAAAATGACAACCGTGGGATGGGCGAGAATGAAATAAGATACTCTTACATCCAGAATACGGACTGAACATCTCTACCTGTACAGAGACACAGACACACACATGCAGAGTCATACACACATCCAAATTGTGGAGACAAGATTTTAGAAGAATCTGTCCTTTCTCTAAGCAGACTGACACATTCATCAGCCACCACAATGCCACATGGGGCTCAAGTGGAAAACTGTGCTAAATTTCCACAAAGTATGCTAGCTGGCAGCCCATCTATGAGCTGACAAACGTGTCGCCACTGTAAAATAGGCTTGTGGTTTTCCCAGTGCTCCAACAGACCAAAGAGCAACATCCGGGGGACACCAGCTGGATTAAAATCTGGGGGGAGCAAAACTTGCCCTCCCATCTGAAGTGGAGGGCAGGGGCGGCAGCACCTGGAAGTGGTTTTCCTCTTTGTGTCAAAGAACACTTGCCCTCTTCAATGCACTCCCCCTCCAAAGTATTTTTGTGCTTTGTTACCATTTTGATGGTGAGGAAGCAAAAAGGACAGAGGAGCTCTGGCCATGCACTAACTTTTTAATCAAACTAAACTGCAAGGAGGAAGAAGGGAAAAAAAAATCATTAGAAGCTTTTTGATTGTGACAACACTGTTTTGGAATTGGGTTTAATTCCACTCAGAGAGAAAGAAGCAGAAAGGTGCAGAGGATGGGGCACCAAAATTGGCAATGGAAGAGATGGTGGAGTCCATGAGCTTTGTGATGGCACAGCCCGTCTCTTCCCAGCCGGGCTGGGACAACATGCCATGATCTCCCAACGCTGGGAACCTATGGCCTATTCTGAAATAAATGCCGACCAATATTTTAAAAGGTCAGTAGGAAAGATGGCAGGAACAGGAGATGGATTTAGAATCACAGGTCATGCAGGTTAAGATTATACAAACAAAATTAATATTTGAGCCAAGTTAAAAAAATCACTTTAAAATTTAAGAGGGACTATATCATAGCCTTCACCTTTGGGAGACCAAGAAAAAAAAAAGAACAATAACAAAACTCAAAACAAAACAACATAACCCAGAATATTCCAGAGTTTCCAAAGAATCCAACCACTAATTTGGTAGGGTGGGGTGAGGGAGTGTTTAATTAACACCTCTCATTAACCTCATTTTCTCCTTGGATGTCACTGATAAATAAAGCTCAGGCCTACTTAGAAAAAAGAGTGGTCCTGCTAAAATACGGCATTATGAAGTCTCCAAGGCTTGCTCGGTGCACATGGAATACACAACTTTCTTAAGAGATGCTCCAGGACGGACCACGAGCACCACCCACATTACCTGCTCAACACGGTCACAAACCCTCAACCCAAAGGCAAGCTGTCTTCCTCTTCAGACGACAGTGGCAACAGTTCCCTGAAATGTACACGGAGGGATGCCAAAACACCACTGCCCTCCAGGTAAGGAAGGGGCTGAGTTTGAGCAAAGATGTACTTCATTAGGCCACGGAACACAAGGCAGTCTCTCCAAGGTGGGACGAAAAGCAAAACTCTCTCTCCCAGTCCTCCAGTGACTGAAGTGGAGGACAGGGCTGTGTTCTCCACCGATTCATGTACCTCTGGGTGCCCCACCCTGCCTTGATTTCCTTTTTGGTAAGCATCCATCCATCCATAAATTCATGGCTACAGTAGAGATTCACGGCGCAATGACTTTCGTTCTGGCTATCTTATTAAAAAAAAAAATTTTTTTTTCTGTCAGTGAGCAGCATTATCCAGTTTTACCCCCCCCCAAAAAGAAACAAGTTCTTGGCAGCTCCATTAGGTGGGATTGCAGGATGCCTGTGTGTCGAGGTGCACACAGCTTGCATATAAGTTCGGCACGCGGGAGGGTGATGAAGGCTGGGTCAGTCCAGTGTCTTGCAGCAGCTGTTGCAGGGGCTCTACCAGCTAGCCCTGACAGCTTCAATATCACTAACCAAATTCTGGGCCAGGCATATCCCAAAAATCTGAGGGGGAAAAAAAAAAAGCAAGTCAAACAGTGAAATTCTTAAATTCATTAAGTTTTCTCTCGGCCCTGTGTTAATTTTTTTGGTAATCTGATTGTTAAAAATTGAGATACAATTCATGTACTGTAAAATGCATCCATTTAATGATAATAATTCAGTAGGTTTTAGTATATTCACTAAGTTATGCAACTGTCACCACTATCTAATTATAGAACTTTCTTATTACCCCTTGAATAAGCCTTCTTTTCCTAAGCAGTCATTTCTCTTCCTCCTCCCATATAGCCCTAGCTGTATTTCTATGTATTAATGAATTTCTATAGATTAGATATTCTGGACATCTTATATACATGGAATCATATAACATGTGGTGTGTCTTTTTACATGTAGCAAAATATTTTCAAGTTTTATCCTCATGTACCAATAGTTCATTGTTTTGTTTTTGTTTTTTGGAGGGGGTATGCTGTTTGGGGGGAAAGGTAATAAATTTATTTGAAGAAATGGTACAATGGTACAAATTTAAAAACTTAAGTTTTTTTTTTTTTTTTTGGTACTGGGGATTGAACTCAGGGGCACTTTACCATTTAGCCATATCCCCAGCCCTTTTTATTTTTTACTTTGAGACAAAGCCTTGCTAAGTTACTAGGGTAGGCCTTGAATTTGTGATCCTCCTACCTGAGCCTTCTGAGTCACTGGGATTATAAGGGTGTGCCACCATTCCTGGCTTTAAGGGAATGTTTTGGTACAACTGACAGAGAAGGTAACTCCAACATGCTTGCATTACCTTTGAGACCAGGGAAGTCACCCCATGGCCATGGAAAAGTCAGCCTAAAGCTTATCACTTATCACTGTGTGCTGGTCAAAGAGGTCTTCTGCCATGACAGATTCAGGGGCTCCTATTCTGCAGAAGTTGATTACAAAGTTACCCAGTTCTTTGAGGAATTCTGCCTGATCATTCAGGTAATGAGTCTCAATAAAGTTACACAGAGGGGGTCATTTTGTCAGTGGCCAGTTGCATGTGGCCTGCTCCCCTGTCAAGGTCTGGTTTCTTGATATCCTGCAGGAAGACAGAGCTACCTCATTAGTTCTGAAGTTTCATCAGTTTCCAAGCATGTTCCCTTGTCCTTGTGAGATTGGTGAGATTTGGCAAAGTTCTTCAAAGTCACATCATCCTGGTCAAAGCAGTAGAACGATGGGCAGGCAGACAGGGGGAGGTAGAGCTCCAGTTTGACCTGGCTGAGAGGCAGAGGTGGGGACAGCAAAGATCCTGGGGTAGTCTGAGGGCATGGTGGAGAGGTGGAGAAGGGCTGGCTCTGGGGGCCAGTACAGGTGGTGGACAAATGACAGGTTCTTTCCAAGTACTATTGAAGCAGGAAATCACACTGACTCTTACAAAGAATTCTTGGCCAAGCATTCTGGTTGCTGAATGATATTCTATCATATGTCTATTCCACATTTTGTTTATCCACTCCTCAATTAATGAATATCCGAATTGTTCTTTTATTTGAAAATTATGAATAAAGCTGCTATGAACATTTATGCACAATCTTTTGGTGAATATATTTTTCAATCCTTTTGGGTACATTCCTAGGACTGGAATTACTGGGCCATATGATACCTTTATTTTTAACTTTCTGAGAGCTGCCAAGTTGTTCTCCAAATAGGCTGCACCCTTTCATGCCTTCCAGCAGCATGTGAGAGTTCCAGTTTCTCCATATCCTCACCAACACTTATTATTGTCTTGTCTTTTTTTATTCTGCCATCCCGCTGAGTGTGAAATGGTATCTTATACCAGTTTTTATTTGCACTTTCTAAATACTAATGACGTTGGCATCGTTTCCTGTGCATATCAGCCATTTTTTATCTTCTTAAATGTCTACTGAGATCCTTTGCTCATTTTAAAACTGGGTCTTTTTATTGTTGGACTGTAAACATTTTTTTCTATATTCTTGATAGACTTTTTTTTTAAGTCATAAAGTTGTTTTTATTTTTTATAAGTTTATTTGTTTGTTTTTTTATGTGGTGCTGAGGATTGAACCCAGTGCCTCACATATGCTAGGCAAGCGCTCCACCATTGAGCCACAACTCCAGCCCTTGAAAGACCTTTTTAAGACAATGATTTGAAAATATTTTCTCCAACTTTGTGGGTTAACTTTTTACTTTCTCAACAATACCATTTTCAGCACAGAAGTTTTTTAATTTTTATGGAGTTCATTTATTTTCATTTTCTTGGGTTGCTTGTTGCTGTCATATCTAAGGCAACATTACTTAATCCAGAAATCACAAAGATTTGCATCTGTATTCTTCTAGAGTGTCACAGTTTAGCTCTTATTTGGCTCTCTTCTTATTTTCCTTTTCATTCTTTTCTTTTTCATTTCTTGGGTCTCTCTACGTTGCTCAAGTTGGTCTCAAACTTCTGTACTTGAACAATCCTCCTACCTCAGCCTCCTGAGTAGCTGAGACTGCAGGCATGCACCACCATGCCTGGATATATTTAGGTCTTTGATCTATTTTAAGTTAATATTTACATATTATATGAAATAACGGTCTAATTTCACTTTTTGGTACACAGATATCCAATATTCCCAGCACTACTTGTTGAAAAGAGGGTTTATGCCCACTGAATGGTTTTGTTCCCTTGTCAAAAATAAACTGACCATAGACATATGAGGTTATTTCTAGACTTCTAATTCTATTCCTCTGCTCTACAATGGCTAGCCTTATTTGAGTACACACTATCTTGATTGATGATGTAGCTTTGTAGTTGGTTTTGTATTGGTAAGTGTGAATTCTCCAAATTTGTTCTTTTTTTAGTTCATTTAGACAATTCTGTGTTCCTTATATTTCCATATGAATTTTGGGATCGGCTTTTTCATTATGGACATAAAGGCAATTGGAATTGTGATAAGGACTGCAAAGAAGTTGTAAGTCGATTTGAAGAGTAATGCCACTTGAAAATATGAAGTCTTGCAATCTGTGAACACAGGATGTCTTTCCATTTATTTTGGTCTTCTCTAATTTCTTTCAACCATGTGCCCTGTTTGTGAATCTCCAAAGAAAGTATCATGTCAACAACATAAAGAGTCCAGCTCTTGAGACCATTCAGGAGGAAAAGTGGGTGCTCCTTCCCTCACTGTCACTTTGGCAAGCTGGTCCAGACAGCAAAAAGGGACACAACATCTCTGAAGCTCCCCAAAGCTCTAATCTCATCACTGAGATCTACTCTGACTATTCAAGTCTGCCCCAGCTATCGCAATGCAGTAAGCTCATGGAAACAACAGAACACTATCAGGCAACTAGTGATCTACTTAATTTCTCCATCTTGAAAATGAAAATATAAATAAATAAGACTTCCTACAGTATTTCAGGATCTAAAATCAGATCTTAAAAAAAAAAATTCAAATGGAATAGTTTGGTCTGTTTGCAGCCCTCCAATGTGTTTTAATAACAATGACACTCAGGTGATTGTGCAAAGCTTCTGTCCTGGTGAGGGCTCTCCTGGGGCACCATTTCCCTGTGTTATCCATAAAGGACCTTGTCTTACCTGCAGCAATGCAATGCCTATGAAAATACCAGCCACGATGGTTAAATTGTCCTGCAGCCACTTCTCAAACTGGGGCACACAGCCTTTTGTGTAGATTACAATCTGCTGGTCAACTTCCTTCACAAGGGAAGAGGAGAGCAGAGTGTCACAGATACAGCACTGTGCATATGCAAAAGCGCCTCCAAATACCCTGCGTGCTAAGCGGCAAGATGAGATTCCACTTACTGGTTTTTGCCTGGCATCGTAGCCACACTGAGTATTGATGACATCTTCCTGGTAAAGAAAGAAAAAGAAAAGTGAAATTCACTCTTATTAAACAGAAAATCCATCTAGAAATGGGCAGAAGCCCCCCAGCAAGTGTCAGTAATAAATGTGTACAGGGGTATACAGATGGTAGAACTATGTTAAACACTTTAGCTATGCTATCCCATGTAATCATGATAACAATTTTCAGAAATAGGTATGAAAATATGTCCTATTTTATACACGAGGAAAATGGAGGCTCGGGGAATCTCGAACAGGACAAATCCATTATGTAGGAAGCTCAAGACTCAAAATGCTGCCGACCCTAAGGAGCTTAGGGGGTGCAGAGACTGGAGAAAGTAGATTAAAACAAAACCTGAAGGACACAGTAAGTACCTTAATTTTTTTTGGTGGGGAGGGAGGTCTCTTATATTTTTGTGTGTGTATATGGTGAAGGGTGCATGTTAAGCACAAACCCAGGACCTGTGTGTGCCAAGCACATACTCATACATTTTAATCTACAAACTTCTGTATTGTTTAGATGGTTTTTCAACAAGAATGCATTACTTCAATAATTAAAAACAAAACACAATCCTGACTACCTATCACACGGGCAGCCTGACATCTCCCAGGACCTGATCAGAAACTTGGGTTCCACTTTTTTGAGTTAGTTTATTCTTCCCCTCTGTGGAGTATTAGGTAGATTTTCTTAGCTTAGATCTCATAGAATAAAACAGTTTTACTGAAAATCTCTGTAGTTGAAAGGAGAAGCCTAGTGACTCCCGAGAATCTTCTGAATTCTTATAATGGACTATTAATATTAGACAGGACCTGGAGACAGGGAGCACACAATTCAGTGTCTGCTGGCCAGTGGCAAGGCCACCAGAGTGGGCACCTCAAGCCCAGAGATGGGCATTCTCTGCCCTAGGAGAGGGATAAACGAGCCAGCAGGAAACGAGCCATCAGGACCAGAGTTGGACAGTTGTTAGTAATTCTCAGGCTCCATCAGACCAAGAGACACAGCCCAGGCTGAACCCCGAGCTGGTGGAGAAGGCCTGCCCACCGCAACACCAAGACCACAGCCTCTCTTAAAGAGGCCCATGGCCTCTACCTTGCAGGTGAGCAACCTTGGAACTCATCGATGCTCTCCTGGCTCCACTCACTGGGGGCAAGGACAGGCCAGGGGGAGGACACCTGGGGCTGAAGGACTCAGAGAGACACTGGAGTCCAGAAGGCATGTAGCTAGGAGCATGCAGGGATGAGTGTGGGACAACCTCTCATTTCTAACACCCAATTCTGGCTTTTCACGTGCAAGAAGGAATTGCATTTTCAGTCATTCTGTTTACCAGGCTGAATCCTTTGACCTCAAGATATAATCAAACCTGTGGTATAAGGGAGTGGCTTATAAATAGGGTTTTTTAATGCTTTCTTTTTAAAAATAATATGCAAACAGCAATTACTGTAGTTATTATGACACCCAAGAGCCTGGGAGGCTATGGTCTTGCTAAGAAGTAATCTAGCCCCATGTGTCTCAAACTGTCCCTCTGCTCCTAATACCTTCCCTAGGAACTTGGCTGGGAAGAAGAGGGTTATGAGCCCCCAACTAATTAATGGAGAGCTCTCGTGTGAGCCCAACCTTCTCACAAAGAAGTAATAACAAGCGATATGGGCAGGCTGCTGCCATCTGGTGCTTGGTTCCATCACTGGCAGAAGAGTGAACCTGAGAAAGTGACTGACACTCCATGTGCCTTGTTCTTCACCTGAAAAGGCAGGGTAATGGAGGCATCTGCTGGTAGAAATGTTCTGAACTTAAATGAGCCAATGCGCAATAACACCTTGGCCTGGGAACCAGCATAGACTTCTACATTAATGCCAGGGATGATTGCTCCTACCAGAAGATCCGAGCACTCTACCCCCTAACAGGAGTTCCAATGAGCCAAAGGCAGGTAAGAAGAGGTTTCAAGACAAAATCGCTCTACCCATCCCTCACACCCTCGCTGTGGCGCACAGAGCAGGCCAACAGTTTGCTGGCAGTCACTCACCGCCGGGTCTTTAGTACAGCAGGAGAACGGCACGCCGCAGCGCTCTCGACTTGCATTGGAATCTGTGCAATTGAAGTAAATATTTAGGTTCCAATCATCAGCTCCAAAAGCCCCACAGCACTGCCACTAGAGCAAACAGGAGACAATTAGAACATCTTGACTTGGAGGCGATCAGGCGCCTACACTCACACCCGCCAGAATGACACCCAGCCTCTGCCAGCTCTAACCTTCTCTTCTGTCTCAGAATTAAGTTTTTCAGCCAAACAGAACGTAAATGGCCCCTGCAAAAGCTTCCAGAGTAATTAAGGCTGAAGGTTTACAAAGATGTGCTGGCATGTGATTTAAACGATCAATGAAACCCATGGTGTTGGGGGGATATGAGTGTTGTACAGCAAGAGCTCACTAAGAACAGGATCAGTTTGGCTTCGAAATCTTCTAGAAGGATCTGTAAGAATATTCTAGAAGGATCTTTAACAAGATGGCAGCATCTGAAGGAGGCAACTGGCCTGTAGGTGGGCTTAAAGTTTTGTTGTTTTTTTTTTTTTTAGAGAGAGTGAGAGAAAGAGAGAGAGAGAGAGAGAGAGAGAGAGAGAGAGAGAGAGAGAGAATTTTTAATATTTATTTTTTAGTTTTCGGCGGACACAACATCTTTGTTTGTATGTGGTGCTGAGGATCGAACCCGGGCCGCACGCATGCCAGGCGAGCACACTACCGCTTGAGCCACATCCCCAGCCCCGGGCTTAAAGTTTTGATCTCCATATTTTAATGGTTTTTACTGACATACAGTAAACTGCACATTTTATAATAATATACCAACTATATAATTTGGTAAGTGTGACATAGCCTTGTGAAACTATCACCATAATCAAAATAGTGAACATCAGACTGGGGACATAACTCAGTGGCAGAGCACTTTTCTAGCATGCCCAAGGCCCTATAAGCCCAGAAAAAAAATGTTAGTGAACATATTCATATCCTAAAAGTCATACAGGGTTGCTTTCATTACATTTGTTTCTGTTCTGAATTTTAAAAAGCAAGCACATACATTTACATTTTCAACTTTAAAAAGTTTAAAAATTAAAATATTATATTTTAATTTTATAATTAAAATATAATATACTGAGTGGGTCTTAAGTGGAGCCATATTTAAGGGCTATTCCATAAGACCCCTACTAACCCTCTATGCTAGACTATCTTTACATTTTCAACTTTAAAAAGTTTAAAAATTAAAATATTATATTTTAATTTTATAATTAAAATATTATATTTTAATTTTATAATTAAAATATAATATACTGAGTGGGTCTTAAGTGGAGCCATATTTAAGGGCTATTCCATAAGACCCCTACTAACCCTCTATGCTAGACTATCTCTACTTCTTTGAATTAAATTAATACAAAGTTTTGACCAATAGTATTTCCGAACAAAGCAGACAGCACTTCAGGACACTGTGTGCACGCATGTTCTTCAAGCTCAGCTGGCCCTCCAAGGGCTTGGGCTGTGCATCTCAAGGTCTGTCCCAAAGTTCCATCAGGTTTGTCATGCAAACTAGTCATGAAAAGTACTGGGGGAGTGTGAGCTCACATCCACTCTGACCTAACAGAACATCAAGTCTGCCGAGGAGATGAAATGGGGCTCGGTTACACACCCCACCTACAGCTTGCTCTGGACAACTGCTGCTGCGCCATTCAAAACACACAGCTCAGAGCCGAGGGCTGATGCCTAGTGAGGAAGGGTGGTTTCTCTCACAACCAGTGCTCTGCAGTCGTGTCCTATCTTTATCCACAATGACCCTGGCTTGTTCTGGAAAATGGTCCAACCTGCATCAGACCATTGGCCCACTGGGCTTCTGTCTGCCCTCCAGTCCTGCCATATTCATTAATGCCAGGGACACCGCTGTCTGGGTCCACTTAGCTTACCCAATCTTTCACTGCAGGCATATAAAGACCTGCTAATCTGTAGGATAAAAACACCTCAGGCTGAATATAAAACCATGTATAGCTCATTAGTATCATAATGGCACTGTGAGTTAGATAGTAGCTATTAATATTTATATTTTTTTCTATTAAAGGAAATAGGGCAAGATTTTGTTAGTCCAGGTCCCTGAGACCTTGTGTTTCTGGACCCCTCTTTTACACCATTTTGAGTGAAAAGAGGCAGTTGCTTCTTTACTTGCATTGAGTTAGCTGTCACACAGTCAAGTTCACACACCTGAGGGATGGGCGGGACTCTTGTGCACAGATTCCCCACTGGCTGGAAGGCTAGGGAGCAGGAGAACTCCTAGGGTTAGGAGCTTCTAAATTTTTAGTTTTAACTGCTGCACATGCAATAATAATATATGAATAGGCATATTTTAGGAACTTTGCTGACAAATATTCTATGAAGTACATCATGACAAATTGGGAAGTAGGGAGGGTTACCAAAAAGGGGGTTAATAAAAAAGAAAGAATCCATATAATAATAACCAAATAAAACTTTAGACCCATAGGAGAACAATGTTCTTCAAAGGCTGATAGGGAAGGACCACTATGATTATAACCTTTTTGCTCAAGTTTTCTTCTTTGTTCCTCTAACTGAAATTGACACAAGTGAAAATAGAACATTTCCATTTTAGACTCAAATCCTATAAGTCACAGAGTGAAAAAATAATATACAAGCGGACAAAGAAAAAAATATGCAGAAAAGTCAGAGACGTTTCTATCTGGCAGAGATAGAGAAACTAGAAGAGTATTGTGGGGTCATCCTTTTGAGAAGACTTTCAACTTTAAAATAAACCAAATTTGAACTTACATATTCCTGGGTGAAGTCTATAAGGTTTTGCAAATCAATGTCATCCCTGTACGCTCTGATGTTGTTGTTTATAAAGAAATACAGCTGGTCTTTGATCCAGTCTTTGAAAACAAATGCCAAAACCCCAGCAGTAAGCTCCAGGAAGAAAATAATTCCCAGGAACACAGAAAACTAGACAAAAGACACATACACAGAACACAGTTAAAAGGGCTGTTTTGATCTGATGTAGTTACATAGTTACTCTCTGAAAAGGATTGTAATTACAGTTGATTGTTACACATCTCCAAACCACATAATCTTCAGTTTCTTAAGATTTAGTAATAGAATATTACACTCCAAGAAAGAACTTTTAAAAATTAAAAATCAATTCATCATCACATTTTAGAAGCTCTGGAGTTCCACTTGATAATTAACCAACAAAGCCCATAAGCAAACATGAGTCACAGGAATTTCTCATTAGACCCACATTAATGCCTAATGAATTTCTCGTGATTAATGTACTGCCAGACATCTGAACAATGACCCGCCTCTACCTCTAGTAAGCTTTTTTCTAACTTGAAAGATAGATTATCCCAATATTTTACAATCATCTGTCATTCGTACTGTGGCCTTGATTCTTTATGCAATATATCCTTTTTATGGATTCGGACACAGTTTTGATTCCTCTTTGCACCTGCTGTACAGCATGAAATAACAGATTGGTTCATCTTGGACAAAGAAGTCAAAGAGGAAGTGGGGGGAGTTGTGAATGTGACATGAAAATAATTTCCAATTGTAAAAACAGAATGAGCCCCTGGGTTAAGGGCTTTCTGGAGAATGCTAGCTGTACTTGGCTTCCTCTGGGAAGCACCAAGCTCAGGAAACGTTTTAAATAACATCAAAATGCAGCCAAAGGGAGACTTGTGGCTCATGTAGATAAGAAGAGTTTAGGGCTAGACACCATAAAGCAATGTGGTAATTGCTCTTAACTCTGGAGAAATCTCCCTTCCTTCTAGAATCCTCAGAAGAGCCTTGTCTTAGTCATTTACTGACTCTTGTTCACGCCCACCGTTCTTTCCATCTCAATCACTCCCACATCCTTACCCTTCTCAATTTTTTTAAACTAAAATAGATGATGAGAAATGGGGCACATTATAGACAAACTCTTGGGTGAGAACAGCAGAGGGTGACATTGGGACCACACCTGCTGGGCAGAGGTCCTGAAGGCTGCAGAACAGTGAGTAGCTAAGGAGGCACTGGGGACTTAGTGGTCTGTGGTTTCTATCTTCAACAAGCACACACCAAGCTGCCAGCCAAGAGAGAATGTGTAGAGGGAGGGGTTCAAAAACATTCATTCACTCAGCAAACGTCAACTGAATGACCCACAATGCCCCTGTGGTAAGTCAGGATCTGCAGAAGCAAGGATGAGTAAGACCATAAACCTTTCTTCGAAGACATTACAGTCTTAAGTGATCTGGGGGTAGAGAATGGGGTGGGAAAGGGCACTGGGAAGGAGTCATTTCACATCACTAAAGCTGAGTGCTTATCTAGGGTGCCAGGTGTGGCTCTGTGAGGAAGGATGTGGCCGGACGGCTAGAAGGAAGAAATCAAGTATCTGCCAAAATCTAGGACCCCAAGGTTTAGACCCCAATTCTAGACCCGTCAACTCAGTTCTTCAGGTTCCCAGAGAATTCCTGGTTATTGTTCCTTGATGAGTTCACTGGAAATAGAATTTAAACAGTTCTTAATTATCATCAATGATACCAATAATTTCAAATGAAGCTTCCCTTAATTTGGAAAAAAGAAAAAAATTCATACCACTTTGCTCAGTGCCTACCTCCTTTAATACAGTACCCTTTCCTTAACTGAGTACCACCTCAAACATGTAAATGCGATAGTTCCTATGATACAGAGATGATAAAATCGTAACTAGCATGCCTGTTGTGCACACACCCAAAACAGCAAGACAGAAGTCATGCAAAGATTTTAATGAGATTTTTAGTTCTCATCTCTGTAAAGGTTAGGGAAGCTCATTTTCCAGTTCCCCTGATACATTTTCTCAGATTACATAATATACATATCAAATATCAAATCCAAGTTTAATTGATTTCAAATATTTGTAAACCTACATGCCCCAGGCTTTGTGAGCTAACTTCTCCTATTTCCAGAAGGGCAGAAACGAACTCACAGGCTTCATCCTAGGGCCTCAGTCAACCAGGAAGCTCCACATCTACTTCATAATCCTTTCACTGTAGGATTTTCCCTCAGCAACAGTCCTGGTCTTAGACATCTAAGTCTGTGTAAAGGCATGCTGACATTTATTTCCTACTTATCTCGTAGCTCCTTCCTGGCAAACATTCTCAGCCAATTTTCATAGTTTGGACTGAAGAGAGAGGCCCTTAAAAATATTCTCCAAGAATTAAAAAAAAAAAAAAGCCAAAAAATAACACAATATTTTTTATTTTCTACACGGGGTTTTATAAACTGACTACTATTTTTAATGAAACTATATTTAAGTAAATCACATTAATGGAGATCTTATATTTGGGGACATAGAGGCTTAAATGGATAAAACAGTGACAACAGGTAAGAATGATAGGGCCTAAACAGACTATGGAAAGGTTGAGCAAGCTCAGCATTCAGAGTGCCTTGTGCCCAGAAGGCTGGTGGACTGGCAGGTCAGGGTATGGGCAAACCTCTCCTGGAGGCTCCACAGGTCTGGCAAGGCAAGAATGAACCCTATGTGTGTGCAAAGTTTGAATCTGTAAGATAAAGCAGTTAGAGTCTTGGGAAACTAGCTACTCCTACTATAGCCCCATATATAGAGAACCAGCTGCTCATTAAACTGTACCTACAACCAAGTACTTCTGGGTTTTCTGATAGCATAAATCACACGAACTTTCAGGATAACAGCCTCCTTCTCACAGTCAGAGCTGCCTAAATTCAAAATGGATCGGGCTGGGTGGGGTGCAGTAAATGTCTTCTTAGTCATGTTGGAGAAAAAGTTGTCAGAAATGTTGGGGAAGAGAACCACAGGCCACACGGCTGTTGGGACGGGTTCTAGGATAAGCTCGAGTTTTAAATGAAAATGATCCTTCATGATGTCATGTCAACAAAAATTGGAAAGGATTTTAGTTATGCAAACATGGTTCTCTGAAGTTGGGCATGGTGGTGCATGCTTATAATCCCAGCTATTCGGGAAGTTGAGGCAAGGGGATGGTGAGTTCAAGGCCAGCCTTAGCACCTTAGCAAAGCTTAAGATTAAAAAAAAAGGGCTGGGGATGTAACTTAGTGGTTAAGCACCCCTAGATTCAGTCCCCAGTACCAAAAAAAAAAAAAGGTTCTCTGATAATCCCTACCATCTTCCCCTACCATAAAAAAGGATCATCATTTAATCACTTCCCTGTTCCTGGAGAGGGGAATAGATGCTTTGTATACAGGACCCACCAGAATGCCAAGTTCCACATCCACAGGCACACTGACTACATCTACCAATTCTATTTCAGATACAAATATACAGCATATGCCATTTGTACTTCTTTAGATACAATCTCCAAAGAGAAGGCTTCACTTTTCATTCTTTACTTTTCCTTTTAATCCTGGTAAAAGCTCTCCTCTGCAAATATTCATGCTAATAGCAATCACACAAACACTCTGTAAAGGAACTAAAAATTATGCTGGTCATACCAAGGAGAACTTTGTACTGGCCAAGCACAAACAAGATCTACCTTTTACTGTTTCTCTATGTTTACTAAAACCAGATTTAACCTGACAGGCTACTGTCACTGGGTTTAAGCCTGGTTCCTACAGCCCAATATCTATACAGCTTTCTATTTACCGTCTGCATAAAAATGGAGGAAATCACTTAAAAGAAATATATATATATATATAAATCTACTTTAGGGATTAGACTACATTTGTGATACACATGTATAAAATCTCTAAGGATAGCAGGGTGTGATGGTGCACACCTGTAATCCCAGCAGCTTGGGAGGCTGAGGCAGGAAGATTTCGAGTTCAAAGCCAGCCTCAGCAATGGTGAGGTGCTAAGCAACTCAGTGAGACCCTGTCTCTAAATAAAATACAAAAAAAGGGTTGGGGATGTGGCTCAGTGGTTGAGTGCCCTGAGTTCAATCCCTGTTAGCCCCCTCCCCCCAAAAAAATTCTTTAAGGATAGCATGGTGGATGAAATTTACATTATTCAGGAGGGATGACCAGAGTAGGGATTGAGGTTTCTTACAGGCTAGAAACCACTCCTGAAAGAAAAACAGCACCTGGGCCATGTTTTTTATCACTGTCTTTGGTACAGCTCACCATCTTGCCTGAAACCAGGGTGATCTCTTGATATAAGAGAGTTTGGCTTTGAAATCTGCAAGCAGAAAGTGTGATACTTACAAATTTGAGAAGGAAAGTGTTTTCCCTTAGTGCTCCTATGCACCCTGCAAATCCCAAAATGAACATCACTCCTCCGACCACAAGGAAGAGCCACACTGGGTCAAAGCCACCAAGATCGGTGATGGACGAGATGTTGGACAGAACTCCCTGGGGTGGAAAAGAACACAAAAGGTACCAGGATGTGAGGCTAGCTTGTTCACATGTGAGGGTTACAGCACTTGTCCCCACCCTCACCCTCCAGCGCAACCCTTCAGAGGTCATCTGAATTCTCAGGCATGGTTAGTATTCCAGAGACACTGCCAAGAAAGCAAAGAAGGGTGCATAGGGAAGGGGTAAAGGGAAAGGGGAAGGGATGGAGGGAGGAGAAAAGCAGAAAAAAGAAGAGGAAAAGAATCTGCTTTTTTTTTTTTGAGATCCAAATTTACTTATGTTTTTGGCAAAAAAAAAAAAAACAGCAAAAAAATTAAAACAAGAAACCAAAATGACTGTCATCAGAGTCTATAAGAAGAAAACATATTACTGTGGCTTCTGTGTCCCCAGATAAAAGTGGTAACGAGTCCCAAAAACAGTGTAAGAAAAACACATTCTCTGATACCCTAAAAGGAAGGGGGGTCATCTTAAAGTCCCCTGGGACTGGAGATGTTAGACAATGGCCTACTTCAAAGCCCCTGGCATTTCTCAGGAAACAGGGTGAGAGCTAGAAGCTAAAAATGAACACAGCATCCAGTTCTGACCACAAGCTCCTATAAGTTTCTCAGGGAAAAACTGCATGTCAGGATCCACCCTGAGCTTCATGGAGACCCTTCAGGCTCAGAGCCCCAGAGCGCTCTTATGTGGTTTGTGCTGATGGATGTTCTGTTTGGTAGTTAAAAGAAGGTATTAATACCTTCTTTTAAGAGCTGGGATTAAAAATATATATATCAAAGACTCCATCACTTTCAACCCTTTGATTCGCCTATCCCAAGACTAACCCAGAGTGGTTTTATTTCTCCACAAACAACGTCACTTCTTTCTGAAATCCTCTCTCTTGAGTACAAGACCACATCAAATACCACTCAGAACCTATGTTAGAAATTATGAGATTTTTTTTTCTCCAAAATGTAATGTCATACTTACTGTTCATTCATATAAAAGACCAGAGACTACTGTTTTGAAACTTTGAGTCTTAAACATTCAACATCACCAATACTTTATTTTCTTATTGTTTTGAACTCCAAAATCAAAATACCTCCAGAGTATTAGGGCTATAGTTTGCTGTGTGGTTTGCTGTAAAGTTCTAATATTAAATATATTTGTTTTCAAAGCACTTATAACAACCTAGAACAGGAAGAATTCATCTGTTTTTATATGAGAAGAAAATGGAACCCAGAGCAGTTTGGGAATGGGCTTAAATCATACAATGATTTTGGGGAATCAGACCAGACTATCTCAGTACTGGTTCCCTATCATGTTGGTTGTAGTCATGTACTCAGTACCCAATATGTTCTAATCAACACCTGAGTTCAGGAGTTTTAAGTTTCAAACCTTTTTAAGTTTGCAGAAACATGTGGAGAAGAGGACTTGTTAGGTTTTTCTTTTTAGACTGGTGTCAATCTAAGAACCCCAATAGTATATTAGTAACAGAAAATATGAGGAATAGCCAGAAGACTCTTAAAAAGTAAGGCTTAACCGAAGCAGAAAAGGTCAGGGGTTTAAGTGAAGTCTCAGACAAGGGCTGGGAGATCAGAGAAGCTTTGGGAATAAAGGGTATATCCACCACCTTCAGCAGTAAGAGGCAGCCACACCTTTCTCCAGAACATAACTTGTTTCTTAGGTTTCCAAGGTCTGAACTAGAATAGTCAGTCCAGGAGGAGAATGGGTGAAAGAAAACACAGAAATACTGAAAACAATTCTCCACCTATACAAATGATGCCAAGAAAAAACTTGCCAAAAAAGTCGGACAAGATCCAGGAACCAGTGTTAAGGGTCCAGAGTGGGAAGGAAACCAATCTCTCCTCCTTACACAGGTGTTAAAAGGCTGAATGTTCTGCACCTGTTCCGCCATGGGAAGAAAGGGCTTTGTGGGTACATACTATTCTTAAAATATAAAAAGATAAAACTTCATTATGGGAGAAGACTTAGACTTTATTAATTTGGCACCTGAAAGAGGAGGTAGCAGAGATGGAAATGACAAAGGCATTGGTTCCATCTTAAGGAAGCATTTCAAAAACCATCGGGACTCTAGCAATGAAGAGAGAAGGTTGCCCTTAGGGTTACAGGTTTCCCTCCATGGGCAGCTGAGGCTGGGGACCTCTCAACTGTGTTCTAGGAAGGATTCGTAAAGTGGACAGGAAGTTGGGACTTAATGACCTTTAGGCTCCTTCCAACTTAAGACTGTGCTATGATTTCATCCATTTTTAATGGGCTTTTTGTGACTCACACTCAAGTCTAAGCAAAGATCAGACTGTTCCCAAACACTCTTCCATGATTCTGGGTTGTACACAAAGAGCTCTGTGGACAACAGAGATAATTATCGGGGTGGTTTTGCAAAGCAAGCAAACAAACATCCATGTGCCTAAAATATCAAGAAAAAATTCCTCCCCAAAAGGCAGAAAATTATGATCCCAACGATCAGTAGATTCCTAGATCATTTGTCCTCTGGGGGTTTAATTTGGAGGATGAGAATTTGGCTTCTCAGACAAACTCATTTTAATACTTACTCTCTCTAGCCTGCAGGGGCAATTTTAATTGAGAGGCCTTCAACTGTTTCCATGGAAACGACAATCATTTGGGGGCCTAGCTGGACTGCGGATTCTACTCATTTAATTCTAAATTCCAGCAAAAGATGGGGCTGGAGACAGATACTATGAAGAGCTTGGGGAACTATAATTCTGAGAAGCATAAGATAGACTACCAAGAACTTTATTTTTGTTGGATTCAGGATATACCCAGGTAGATATCAGTTGTAAACTAATTAAAATCTCTTTTTTTGATGGAAAGAAGATATCTTTTATTTGTTTAAAACATTTTAATTGACAAGCAAAATTATATGTACTTACCCTGCAAAATGTTTTAAAGTATGTATGTGCACACACACACACACACAGTAGAATGACTAAATCTAGCTAACATGCATTTCCTCACAGTTATCGTTTTTGTGGTAAGAATCCATGACATCCACTCTCAGCATTTTGCAAGAATTCAGTATATAATTAACTCAAGTCTTGAAGCACATAGTGTCGAAATTGATGCCCAATGACAGTTTTCTCTCCCTTGGAATTGGGCTTACTACCTAAATGAAGAGGGAGAGAAGACCAGCTCCTTCATCTGTGCAAAGTGTCCAAATGCTCACTGTGGAGCAGCAGATTACACAGAGATTCAGGTGAGTGGAACATCATCTAACAGCAAGGACTCTGGATTACGAAAATGATGGGGAGAAGACAGGTCCGCCTTCCGTGTCTTCAAGAGGGGTCTCTCAATGTACACTGTAATTTTGTTAAGCTCAATTTGACAAATGAGAAAGAAGTGCTCGTACATGCTTGTGGAAGAATAATTATAATTAAAGCTTGTAGTTGACAAGAAGCTGGAAGAAAAAAAATCTAAGATTACAGTTGAGTCTGCCAAGTGATTTAAAATAGGCAGTCGGATTTGTGGTAAATCCTCAGGAATGTGCAAGAACAACACCGGCAGACACCTAGTCTTGGGGAAACCTGCAAGCACCTCCTCCTCCTCCTCCTGGAAGGATGTCTTCCCCCTCAATCCACTCCATAGCCCCCTCGGAGATGTCCTTCCTCACATGAGCCCACTGCCCCCATGAGAGCTGAGAAGCCTTGAGTCCCCTTATTGGGATGCCAGGATTTACAAGAGGCATCTCTCTCCAGCGGCTGAAACTGTAAAATGCCAAACTCTGGAGCCATGTGCAGAATGTCATGGGTTTTTTTACCACTTGGAGGAAAGTTAGCCTACAATGAGAAACAGAAAGCCAGAGTTTAGGAAGAAACAAAGAAAGAGTAGGGAGGGAAAATTCCTGAAGGCAGAATAAATCCCAGGGCCTAGAGGTTAGAGGCCTGTCCTAGAGTCCTGAGTGTCACTCTGGGAATCCTCAGAAGACACCCCTTGATTGCTTAACAGGGTTCTATGTGGGTCTTCCGTTTGCATCTGAGTTCTGCCCAACACAATAGCTTTGAACAAACCATGCTTCAGCAAATGTGCATGTGTGGGGCAGGGAAACATCAGGGAGTAGCACACACACACAAAGGCCCTAACTAGAGACCACACTTTATGCGAGGGAAGAGAAGTGCTCTGGGGGCCAGGAGCACACAATGGTAGAAGGAAGTGCTGGATTTAGAATGGTCAATTTACCCAGCTGGCTGATATTTCAAGTCAACATAGCAACTAAACCAGCATTAACAGTCTTTGTTCATGTTAACTCCCTCTCAGTCCAGCATCATCAATGAAATTAGCAGTTCTGGATGGAAGCTTCAGGTACTTTGTTACTGACATAATATGTACTTCCTTTAACTATTTGTTTTCATTGACACAGAAGTGGGATTCTGAACAGGAACAGCAGAGACAGTATAAGAGCCAGAGATCAAGATTGCAGATTACAAGAAAAATATGTTCAAAAGGAGTATAGATTCGTAATATAGGAGGAATTCTTAAACATATACTAAAGATATTAATAAGGAATGAAAGAAATGAACATATACATAAGCACTCTTGATATTCTAATGGTATGTTTGAATATCACTGCTCTTAGTTCCCTTGGTCTTCTCTCCCACCCGTAGCCTACAGCTGTTGGTACATCAGGCAGCACAGGTAAAAACAAATTGACCAGAACCTATGGCACTGCTATAAAGAAGAAATGAACAATAGTCAGTTTAAAAGTTGAAAGAAACAAATATATTCAACATCTTGGCCATTCCACAAATTGGCTTTATCAACCTACAGCCCTAAAGAAATGATGCTCCAGTGAAAACAGGAGATTCCCACTATCCATGAGGTATTCAACAGTATCCCTCAGCAGAGACCAATATGTGTCTAAACAGAAATAAGACATATTAATGGAACATGGCTGAGGCACTCATCATTATAACAGAAGTAAAGCAGCCAGCAAACAAAAAGGTATCCGTGTGTGTCCATTATGGAACAAGGGAGACTGATATTCC